CACCTGCTATAATAAAAAAGGGTGCTTAATTTCGGAGCCGTACGGTAGCTTAATTCAATCCTGAAAGCCCAATAGGTCGATTAAACTGTTTCAAATACTACTAGGGTGTTTCATAATTAGCATATTTCAAAAATAAGTGAGAGTTTAAAAAATCTTATTTATATTTTAAATTTCAAAATCAGAAAATAAAATAAAAGCGTCGAATTTATAAATCAGTTACAAATAAACATACACTTAAAATAAAATATACTTTGTAAGTCACTTATTTTGAAATAAATACGTCACTTATTTCATCCGAAATCAGACGATGAAACTGATATTCAAATACAACGGGTTTAAATTTTAACAAAGATTATTATTTAATTTTTAATTTCAAAAAATCGATGCTTATCCATAGAATAAAAATTAGAACTATACTATAAAAATAAATGCATATAACATTTGGATAACTAAATAAATTTTCAGAAAATATTATTCGGATTCAAAAAATCTCCAAAATTTGTGTCAAAGTCTCCAACTATCTATAATTATAAGTAGTGTCTGTCCCTTTTAAAGTATAACAACTTTAAATAAATGTTTAATACTGTAATAATAAGCGAGATTAATTTCTTTTGATCTTCGATTAGTCATTTTGACTTTCCTGAATTTTGAGATTGTTTAGTTCAATTTCCAATTCATTTATTTCTACTTTTTTGCCTAAGAAATCTTGAATTTCTTCAGCGGTTAGTACCTTAGACAATCTTTTTTTAACCTTTTCCAATTGTTTTCGGGCAAAAGCGTTGTCATTTTGTAAAACTTCTTGTTGAGTTTCTAATAAAAGTTCTAACCACAATTGATTATCTTCATTCAACTTATTTTTAGTATTAACTAATTGATTCTCTAAATTTTCCTCTTCAATTTTCTTTGCCGCTAATTTTAAATCACTAAGATTAACGCCTTTAACATTTCGAATAATACTAGTTAATCTATCTACTTGGCTTTTTATCCTATTAAAATTAGAATCATTCTCACCAAATAAATTGTAAATAAAAGTGCTATTATAATTAATTGCGATACGTTCCAACTTATTACATTTATCAATCTTCAAACTAGTTAACTTTTGTTGCTGATCCTGATTCTGTCCAGTACCGTAGATATATAATTGCTGCAAATTAACAAAGTCATTAAGATCTAGCTCTCCTTCCAAAAGAATACCATAGAATTGAAAGGTTGGAGCAGTAGAACAGTTGGTTTTATTTACACAATTATTACAATTATATTGATGGACGGTATGACCACTTTGACATTGCCTGTAGATGTAAAGATTTGTTGCTTGTGCTCTTTGATTTACTGGAATTTTTTCATACAACCATTCGTTGGCATTTACCATAATGCATTTACAGCTCTACTTAAAACTATTCTGTTGTTTTAAAAACAGGATATTAATTTTCATGACTAATGAATCTCAACGCATTAATTTATTGTTTGTGTTATACCAACCGTATTTTTAACGTACTTTTATTTATAGTGTTTAATCCTTTTCTTCACTCTTTTCAATATATACTCAAGTAATGAGCCACTAGCAAAATATATTATTAACTAGATATTAATACGTACAGAATGAGCGTCTTATTTTACTGTAACGGTAACAATGACTACCCATTTGCGTAACGGTAACATAGGTAATTGAGCCCAATAAGAAATAAACTTGCTTTCCCTTGGTGACACA